GGGAAACATTCACACACACTCACACACACACGCATGGACAATTTAGCCTACCCAATTCACCTGTACCCCATGTCTTTGGACTGTGGGGGAAACCGGAGCACCTGGAGGAAACCCACGTGAATGCAGGGAGAACATGCAAACTCCACACAGAAACGCCAACTGAGCCGAGGCTCAAACCCCCAACCTTCTTGCTGTGAGGCGACAGCACTACCTACTGCGCCACTGCTTTGCCCATCACACAGATTTGTACACTGTAAAAGCCAACAGTCATCTTTATCAAATGAAATGAGTGTTGTTAACTCAAAATTGCCTGAAAGTTATTTCTACTCATTTGAAAAGAGTTTTGAACTCAGTGTTAAAGGTAACGAGTTAATTAAATACCTCATTACTTCAACTTAAATGGAGTAAGTGCACAGTACTCATATAGATTAGTTTTTTTTTTACTCAAATGGTTTGTAGCAATCGGTTTCCTCAAACAGTTTGAGTTGCCATAACTTTTGGGGTTTTACAATGTAAAAAAGACAAAACCTTCTATTCTGCATGCCTGGCCAGTAGACAGCGATGTTATGCTGTAAAGCACAGGTGTCAAACTCAGTTCCAAAAGGGCCTCAGCTCTGCACAGTTTAGTTCCAACCCTAATTAAACACACCTGATCAAACTAATTGAGTCCTTCAGGCTTGTTTGAAACCTACAGGTAGGTGTGTTGGAGCAGGGTTGGAACTAAACTGTGCAGGGCTTCGGCCCTCCAGGAATTGAGTTTGACACCCCTCCTGTAAAGAATGTGCATGTGCACATACAATCCTGTTGTCCTCCATTGTTGTTTAGGTTATCAATATACATCTCTTTTTGGTTCCATTGACCCTCTATAGTTTTTTCTATGGTTACTTATTGAATAATGATTGTGCACACCTGTGCCTGATTTAGTTTCTCATGATCTTATATTTAACGCTAATAGGTCAGCTGAAGACTTTTGAGTTAATATAACAATACAGTACAAAGTAAAACTTTGATATTCAACTAAACATCGCTATCCTCAAGATCTGTTCAGTTCCAAAACATTACCTTTGTGAGGATTGATTTAATTTCAGAGATTCATCAATATGCCTCAGTAAAGAATATTATATCAAATTAATGAATTAATGCAGCGAGCTTGCCAAAACCATGAGTCAATGCTGGCATCAAAAGTTAGCTGGCATTATGAGCCGAAATTCTTCACGATTTATTATTGTCCCATTTCTCCAGAAAAAAAAAGAAGAAGCTCGCAATTCTGTTTTATAGCCAGTTGGTCCTAGTGTTTTGAGTAGATTATTGAAATTTAGTAATGAGGTAAAATTTGTAATGAGGTTAGGGCGACGCGCTCGCATTTTCTTTCAGCAAAATTGCTTTCTCTCATTGTCTGGAGCGCCCAGAACCCGCAATGCTCGGTGTATGTTGCTCTGTTGATTGTGTACGATCGGGCACCCTCTTCATTATGGCAATTGAGAGGTTCATATTTCAACCTAATAGCTCTCGATAACTTTAACAATTGATCACAACCTCATTTTATTGCGAGCCGAGTTAATACACGCTTCCCTGCCAAGTAGAACATTTTCTAATGATGTACTTGTGCACCAAAACAATGCGGGGCCCAGCGCCTGCATTAGTTACTAATGTCCCCATCCGTAATGTGCTTATACCACCCAAAAGAGAGAGAGAGATTGTGTGTGCAAAAATGAAACGAGCGTACAGGGATCTATGTAGGAACCGCAAGATCAAGGGGAACATGGTGATGATGACGATAACGCTTAAGACGTTGTCATTAATGACACCATCACCCTCGCTGTAATATGTCCATAGACATGCCATCATTAGCATATATAAGATCATCAGTAAGGCTTATCGCTGGAGAGGGAGGGCTGGGGAATATCAAACCCCAGTATTCCTCAGACTTCCCTGATTAATGGAGGACAAAGCGTGATTTGTTTTTTACCAAAGCTTCCCCCCCTGCGAAATACTTCATTGGTCAGCTACTAGACTGTAAAATGGACAAATGATTATTTTGGTGCAAGCTTCTTCTTTTTTTAAGAACGACAATTGTATTTAAAGCTTTTTATTTGTGTGTCTCTCACAAAGCTTTTGACATCATAAATATTTTTTTTTCATGTATGATTCAGAGACGGGGCGTTGTGTTGGAAAATCCAATTACTGCACCAAAGCAGTTCAGATTGAGTGTTTGTGTAATAGTTATTTATTAGAATTTATAAGACGTCTTATGGCATGTGTGATTGGTTGTTAGAGTTTAGCATATTTGTCATACACTTTGCTCAGTAAACAGGGGAGATTAGCTGCAAATAACTTCAAAACGAATGGGTCAAAGATTAAAAAGGGGTATTTGACCAATTGAAAGATTTAAAACAAATGTTTAATGCATTACTATATGCCCTGTCAAATAATTTCATCAAAACGAATCATTATGACTAATATTTTTTGCCATTACATTACAGTTTAAGCTAGACACTTGGCAAAATTTAATTTAGTGCAAGAATAGTTTACCAAAACATCGTTTCAGGCATAAACAATAATCATCTGATGATACATTAAAGCCCCCCAAAATATGAATTTAAATTTGCCACTATCCACCCAATTATTAGCAAGATAATTTAATCATTTAAAATATAATACAATTGAATATGATGATTTATTATTCTATATAATTTAATAAGCTAAAGATATGTTTAAGTAAGAATTATGTATATTTTATCTGTTATATTAATAGACAATTCACTCATATTTTGTAATTATTTACTTAAAATCTGTTATTAATAATATTATATTAAATAGACTATTAAATCTAATCTATTTTAACACAGTGTGCTTTCTATTTCTATGACGTAGACACCAAAATAGAATGTCTCACAAATATCATGGGAAATATCAAGCTACAAAATTTCAATATATATATATATATATATATATATATATATATATATATATATATATATATATATATATATATATATATATACATATATATATATATATACTTTTCTTTAAGGTTTTCCCTCATTTTTCCTGTTCATTAAAGTGATTTAATGTTTTTCCTGTGTATTAGCCAAAGTCAGCTTTATTGTCAATTCAACCATGTGCAGGTTACTTGGTGCATATAATATTAATACAAAAAGTAAAATTTTAAAAAGAAATTATAATAAATACAATTACACATATAATCCAAAAATATAAGTAAACAATAAAAATGTGAGTGGTGCAGTAGGTAGTGCTGTCGCCTCACAGCAAGAAGGTCGCTGGGTTGAGCCTCGGCTCAGTTGGCGTTTCTGTGTGGAGTTTGCATGTTCTCCCTGCATTTCGCCTGGGTTTCCTCCGGGTGCTCCGGTTTCCCCCACAGTCTAAACACATGCGGTACAGGTGAATTTGGTAAGCTGAATTGTCCGTAGTGAATGAGAGTGTATGGGAGGTGAATGAGAGCTGGAAGGGCATCCGCTGCGTAAAAACTTGCTGGATAAGTTGGCGGTTCATTTCGCTGTGGTGACCCCGGATTAATAAAGGGACTAAGCCGACAAAAAAATGAATGAATGAATGAATGAATAAAATGTGTAAACAATACAATTACACTTAAGTGCAAGCCAGAGTTGTGCAGATGAATACAGTTAATTCAGGCGTACTGATTATTGGAACATGATCTTATTGATCTAAGTTTTTTTGTTAGATAGGTAATTTGGTACTAACTAATCTAATGTATATGCACAAATATATTATTGTAAAGAATCTTTAGAAATTATTCATTTAAACAGAGATCTATGAGGCATGTATTTATGCTGAGCAATATACGTTTGTGTGAAGCTTTCCTCAAACCTTATACCACTATTCGCTTTCGATCTTGTGTTTTGCTTTAAAAACTACACAAAATGTAATGTGAAAGACTTATATATATATTTTTTTTAAATCTCAAGGAGTTTTCTATCGCAAAATCCTTGAGGGACTGAACAATGTGAACAAATATGAACAGATATGAGCCCAAACATTTGTGGTAAAAAAAAAAAAGCTTCATTGTATATTTTTGCAATCTATTCAATATACATTTATCTATGACAATTGTTTCCTTGATTCACTGTTATTTGCTTATGATTTTTTGTTGGAAATACAGCCACATCTAAATTATCTATTATAACTGATAGCTATTACTGTACTGTAAAAGTTGTTTATGCATTGTGTAAAAGAAAAAAAAAGTTAATTTGCCAACACAAAATAATCAAGTATAAAAAAAATAAGGTTGCTCCACTCTGTGATGGTTTTCCTTCGATAAAAGCCAATATAATGGGTTATGTGTGTGTTGTGTAAGGGCTCTGGTCTCAATAGTGTTAAAATGCCTCCATCTAGTGGCTCATATTCAACACTACAGCATAAGAGGTTTGCAAATTATCCTCGTTTAAACCCAGTATTACAGAGAAATGCACTTCAGTAATCTTCTAGGGCCCAGTTTAATCTAATACGTTTTCTTTTAAAGCGCATAAGTTTTGCTACCGTTAGGCTTTAAAATGAATTATTTATAAGCTTATATGCAAGAAATTACACATTTCTTAAAATTTATAAATCTAGCTTCAGGCAGACGACAGCTTGTATAAGAAATTGACTTTCATTGAGCACCAAATCTAATTATTTGCAACCTTATACCCTCAGAAAAAATTTGATAGAAAGAATATAATGCATCAGCTGACCTTCGTGTGCGGTTTATTCAGAAATAATAGCACACCAAGGGAAAAAAGCCATCTTCAACTGCCCATAAATGCTATTTTTCATCACTTCTGGTATAGATAAAAATACTTAATGCTATTTCTTGAATCATTCCAGAAATGTAGGGACACATACTCTGACCCAATGTTTGCATTTTATTAGTAAATCACCAAATTGTCTGCGCATATTTAATACTACAGAAGAGTGAATATTGATGGCTTGCTTCACATACAATTGGTTTTAACTTTTGTATATTTATTAATTTTTTTTAGAAATGCTCTCCACCTCTCAGGCGGTCACTTGGAGCTGGTGTATTTGGTGACAGCTTTGGTGCCCTCAGACACGGCGTGCTTGGCCAGTTCTCCAGGCAGCAGGAGCCGGACCGCGGTCTGCACTTCTCTGCTGGTGATGGTGGAGCGCTTGTTGTAGTGCGCCAGTCGGGACGCTTCTGTGGCAATGCGCTCGAAAACATCATTGACAAACGAGTTCATGATGCTCATCGCCCTGCTGGAGATGCCAGTGTCTGGATGAACCTAAGGAGAAACATATGCAAACACACATTTAGCACATTTAGTGGTGGAAAGAGTACTGAAAAATCATACTCGAGTTAAAATACAATTACTTGCTTAAAAACATAGTGAGATTAAAAGTATCTGTTTGTAAATATTATTTTAAGTACGAGTAAAAACCTTTTAAAAGTACTCAAGAGTAGCGAGTAGTGTGTTTTATGCTGTAAAAAGCTGATGCGTTTACATTTAATTTGTGCATGTGTGTGTAAACGTAACATTCTGTAGTGCATTTAGTTATTGCCCAGCAGGCACACAATGTCATAAGACATTAATATTAGGTTTAATTTAGGTTATGATGTCAGGTGACCAAAATTTAATGTTTAGCCAGCATCTAAAGGCAACATTATTTTGATTTCCAAAACCGACGTCAAATGACGTTGATATTTGGTTGATTTTGGGTTGTGTTAAAAAGTGACCAAAATACAACAAAGCCAACATCTTTAACCAGCGTCATATTGACGTCAAATACTGACATTTATTCATCAGGTATGGCAACCAAAATCCAACATCTGATAGACGTCATAGTGGTAACGTCCACAGAACGCCAAGCTGTAACATCATTAGACGTTGATGTTTGGTTGATTTTAGAGGTTGGACATTGACGTCAACCTGATGCTGGGTTCTGATGTCAACCCAATTTTTATTTCCAAATAAAAAAGTAATGTCCCCACGACGTTGGGAGACCATGTCAATTTGACTTAATGTGCCTGCTGGATGTTTAAGGCCATTTCGGTCATCATACAGTAAACATCCGTCATCTTCTCATCAGTGACACGCATCTAAACAGTCTCTGGGTCAATGTGTGTAAAGATTTTGGACACTTTTAATGCTTCCAAACAGTTTGCTGCAATTATAAATCAAAATGAACAACCTCAAAGACATGGGTGAGACGATTTACCTTCTATGTGCGATTTGATCGGACAGGAATCAAAGGACTGATTTTTCTAATCCTCATAGACAGGAAAAGATAAAGTAGTGACTGCAGGTTGAAGGAAAGAATTGGAGTAAAAGTACTGATACCACACTAAAAACGCACTCAAGGGAAATTACACATTTTTAAAACAACTTGGTAAGTTACCATTACTGAGAAAACTAGTCAATTACAGTAATTTGGGTATTTTTAGTTTGATACTTTACAACACTGAGCACATTCAAATAGTTTTAATAAAAGTGATAGTTTAAAATGAAAATGTCATATTAGTTTATAAATCCTCAAGGCTTATGAAATTTTCTTATTCAATAGAAGATTCAGATTGATCAAGCTGATGAATTTTATTAATATTATTAATGAGAACTGTAGGTTTAAAGGTTAGTTACTTCAAAACTGTAATGTAAAGTGACCGACTCTTATTAGGTTAAACAATAATTCAAATTCCAATTAAAGCATTTAAAAGCAAAATATAAAATCACTGATACTTACAATAAAGTTTTGTAATGCTTTAACGTTATAGTAAAGACATTTGTTTCAGGTAAGAATAAGTTTAGAACCTTTTAAGTAGGCTACATTATGTGTACTAACATTATCGAAATAGTTCTTGTCCGTTTAAACAATTCATAATGCCAATTTGAGCGAGGAATGATTCCTAAACCCCTCTGAAAGAGTATTTAAATCGTTTGGAGAATCAGTTCAATTGACTCATTTAAAAGATCCGACTCAATGATTCATTCTTGAATAAAGCGCACGTGGTGTTAAATACACGTGTTTTAATCGTAATTTACATTAGAATTTATTAGTTTCACATAATAAATATGAATTCTTTAAACTTTCTTATTCATAAACGCATCACTCACCTGCTTCAAAACTTTGTAGATATACACTGCATAGGTTTCCCTTCTCTTTGACTTCCGTTTAGATCCTTTTTTGTCCCCTGGCGCTTTGCCCTTCTTTTTTGCTCCTTCATTAGACATCATGGATATTCATATATTAATAACACTAAGCAATATTTTAATCTCTCATTGACGGGTTAGCCGTTTGGCAGATCTCCAGCTGGCCTTCATCAGCCATTTATGACGTGTACGGAAGTGAACACTAATTGGAAAGCGTCTGAGCTCAATCTCGCGTGGCGGACGGAATTCGGATCAGTCTTCAAGAGATCAAGTATGTTTTCCAGTCGCTTTTTTTCTATTAAGTGTCACATAAATCAGTTTGTAAGTGAAACTGTTAAACGTATTAGACTACCTACATTTTACGACATGAGCTGCATGCTTTTGGTCATAAAACCAAAACATATAATTTGGTCTTCCATTTTGTGAACTTGAAATGACCAAGAAATAATATCATAGTATTAGTCAATTTACGTAATTAGACTAGTTGTGTAAAAAATAATTTGTTAAGTAAGTTAAATTAAAGCAGCCCCTGTGTGTGTGTGTGTGTGTGTGTGTGTGTGTGTGTGTGTGTGTGTGTGTGTGTGTGTGTGTGTGTGTGTGTGTGTGTGTGTGTGCGCGTGCGTGCGCGCGTGTGTAGAGAGAGACAGAGAGAGAGCAATATAAAAACTAGATATTAAAGTTTGAGGACAAACTTTATGGTGGCTTGAAAAGCCGAATCTGAAAGTTTGAAGTGGTTGAATTAGCATGTTACTAGCATGATTCTAGCATGAATTAGCATACTACTAGGATAATTCTAGCATGAATTAGCATGTTAGTACCATGATTCTTACATGAATTAGCATGTTGTTAGCATGATTCTAGCATGAATTAGCATGGTACTAGCATGATTCTAGCATGAATTAGCATGTTGTTAGCATAAATCTAGCATAAATTAGCATGTTACTAGCATGATTCTAGCATGAATTAGCATGTTGTTAGCATGATTCTAGCATGAATTAGCATTTTACTAGGCGGTTGCTAGGGTGTTTTAAGTGGTTGCTAGGTGGTTGCTAAGATGGTGCAAGGCAGTTGCTAAGGTGGTCTGACTAGTTGCTAGGGTGTTGCTAGACGGTTGCTAGGGTGTTTTGAGTGGTTGCTAGGTGGTTGCTAAGGTGGTGCTAGGCAGTTGCTAAGGTGTTCTGACTAGTTGCTAAGTGGTTACTAAGGTGTTGCAAGGTGGTCGCTAGGGTATTCTGAGTGGTTGCTAGGTTGTTGCTAAGGTGTTGCTAGGCGGTTGCTAGGGTGTTCTGAGTGGTTGCTAAGGTGTTGCTAGGTGGTTGCTAAGGTGTCCTAAGTGGTTGCTAGGTGGTTGCTAGGGTATTCTGAGTGGTTGCTAAGGCGTTGCTAGGTGGTTGCTAGGGTGTCCTGAGTGGTTGCTAGGTGGTTGCTAAGGTGTTGCTAGGCGGTTGCTAGGGTGTTCTGAGTGGTTGCTAGGTGGTTGCTAAGGTGTTGCTAGGTGGTTGCTAAGGTGTCCTGAGTGGTTGCTAGGTGGTTGCTAAGGTGTTGCTAGGTGGTTGCTAAGGTGTTGCTAGGCGGTTGCTAGGGTGTCCTAAGTGGTTGCTAGGTGGTTGCTAAGGTGTTGCTAGGCGGTTGCTAGGGTGTCCTAAGTGGTTGCTAGGTAGTTGCTAAGGTGTTGCTAGGCGGTTGCTAGGGTGTTCTGAGTGGTTGCTAGGTGGTTGCTAAGGTGTTGCTAGGTGGTTGCTAAGGTGTCCTAAGTGGTTGTTAGATGGTTGCTAGGGTGTTCTGAGTGGTTACTAAGGCGTTGCTAGGTGGTTGCTAGGGTGTCCCAAGTGGTTGCTAGGTGGTTGCTAAGGTGTTGCTAGGTGGTTGCTAAGGTATTCTGAGTGGTTGCTAAGGCGTTGCTAGGCGGTTGCTAGGGTGTCCTGAGTGGTCGCTAGGCCCTTACTAAGGCATTACTAGGCCGTTGCTAGGTGGTTGCTAGGCGGTTGCTAGGGTAATTTGGGTGGTTGCTAGGCAGTTGCTAGGGTACCCTGGTTGGTTACTAGGCAAGCCTCACATACATGATTGATAAAACATTTATACTTAGTAAGCATTTCTAGCAAGTTACAGTACTGGGCTAGTCAATATTAGCATGTAGCTAGTCACTGCTAGCATGTGTAGCATATAGGAAGTTCCGTTTGCTAGCATGAGTCAAACGAGCCAATCTCCAAGTCTCTACGATGTTCTGATGCTGAGATATAGCTGTTGATGAATGGTTGCTAGGGTACTCTGTTTTGTTGCTATGGGCGAGGTTACAGAGTGAACTTGAATGTGGTTGGTTGTCTTAGTCGAATGAACCAACCCCCATGTCTCTATGACACTGCTATGCAAAGATATGCATCTTGGCCTATTTTAATGGAAGTCTATGGAATCAATTTGGGGGCGTGGCTTGTGAGCTTCATTATCATATTGAGATGCTCATTGGTTGTCTGAGTCAAATGAGCCATCCCCCAAGTCAATAGGACACTGCTATGCAAAGATATGCATGTAGGCCAGTTATTAACATGGGTCTAGTATGAATTAGCATGTTACAAGCATGATTCAAGTACAAATTAGCATGTCATTAGCATGTTTCCAGTATGAGTTAGCATGTCATTAGCATGATTAGCATATGAGTAGCATGTTGCTAGCATGATTGGCATGTCATTAGCATGTTAGAATTATAAGCATTTGATAGCACAGCTAATTACATTCTATAGGACAGTTGCTAGGGTGCAGTATGTGGTAGTTAGGGGTGTGGCTAGAAAGTTAAAAGGCCATCAGTGATTGGCTGCTGGCTAGACTGAGTTAAATGAGCTCAGCCATTAGTCTGTATGACAGTCTGATGCAGAGTTATGAGCTCACAAAGTTTGATCCCATGTTAAGTCAATGAGAGTCTTTTACAATGGAAGTCTACGGGACA